TGATTGTCATTTTCCTTGCAGAGCTGTTGCAAGGATCACATGAGATAACATTTGGGAATGGGCCTCCAAGAGCATAAGTGCAGGACACACATGTAGATGATTAGCACTGCCATCTGTCTGTCACTAAATGCTGTCCCCACTCCCTGCCCCACCCCCACCCTGCCGCTCTAGGTTCCCTGCCCCCACTGCCACATCGGGCAAACCCAGAGAGGGAGACTCATCACAGGAGCAAATGCCTGGATCGTAGGCACTGGTGTCTCTCACTGTTCCCTGGACAGGCTGAGTGGGAGGGGGCTTAGAGAGAAGTGGGGACAACAGAGGAGGGCCTTCTTCCCCCTGTCTTTCCTTCAGGCCACCCGAATGTCCCCAAGGACTTGGTCCTATGGTGAGGCCACCTTCCGCTCTGCCTCAGTGCCTGCTGAAGGCGAGCAGGCCCCAGCTCCAGAGGCTGGTGCCAGTTCCCTTCCTTGGACACGTGGCAGGAAGGAAGGTGGGAGTGGACTGTGGGAACAGACCGTCTGTGCTCCAAGGGGCCTGGCCACGTGGGAACAGCTTGGTGCAGACTCTCCACCCAGCCAGGCCATTCTCGGAGGCTCTGAGGGCACTACAGGCAGGACTTTCTGAGCCCCGGCACACCCTGGGGGACACCTCCTCCCCCTCCTGGATACATGGGAAGGCTGGTAAGATGGCTTTGCAGCTGGGGGCCAAAGGCCCCCAGAGAGCTTGGAGAGCTGAGTGCTGGGAGACTTCAAAGGCCTCCAGAGGACCCTGGATCTGAGCTGCCTGCTCACAGACCCAGGTCAGCTGGCAGCAAGAAGGTTTCTGCTTCTTTTAATATCAACTTGTAGTCATTTAACATTCCTCGAAGCTTAAACACAGAAACATGTTCCTTACCAGACTGTGCTTTCTGCTCTGCCAAACATAACCTGGCTTCCTCCCCTCCCCCACACCTCCATCTGCTCCTGTCTCCGAGAAGTAATGACTTATGGTGTGTTTCCCCTGGAGCTCGTGCAGCTGAGTGAGAAGAAGGGAAACGACAGAGCTGACACCCAGGTGGGGAGACTGCTGCTCTCGGGCCCTGGAATCTGAGTTCTAGAGGGGTCAGGGTCCACAGTGCCCACTGAGCTGGCTGCCATGGACACTTTTTTTAATGCTTCCATTCCACAGCCACCAATGGCCCAGGAAGGGTGGTAGCCCGTCCTGTCTCTTGGTTGGGTGTCTTCTAGGACTGGACAGGACAACTCAGAGCTCCTTCCTTGCCTGTCCCTCCAGCCCAGCTCTGGGAGATGGAGATGGGGCTCCCACCCCTTATCCCTGCAGAGAGTAGGTGCCAGGAACGGAATTTTGAAAGCTCTCTCATCAGCCCCCATTTCCTAAATGATGAAAGACTGACTTGTGGTTGCCTAGCAGCACTGTCTCGCTAGCAATAGTGCAGAGGAGCAGGGTGCAGGTCCCACAGCATCAGGAAGGGACGTGTTCAGGAATATGGGGTAGGGTGAAGCAGATGGCCAGGCCCCTCCCCCCCCCCCCCAGTGCCATACCCTCTGGTCA